GTCTACAAGCGTGCGTATCTCGGTCTCAGTGATAAGTTGAAGCCTAACGGCTTCTGGTCCCTATCGTGTTTCCCGCGTTCATACCAACGGCAACGTAACGATTCAACTCAGTGCTCATCAGTTTGAGCGCCTGAACATTCGGCGCGTGTTTCCAAAGCATCCAGTACTCCGGTTGCCACCGGTCCGGGTTATTGAGGTTCCCCTGATTCATTTTCTAAATGTTACTGATGCTCGGCGCCTATTGTTGCCTCACAGTGGAGGAGAGTGACATACGCACGTCTATGACGTGGCGCTTTAACGCTAGTTTTAAGTCTAATCTCACAATATTCCGATCGTAGTTCAGCGGATAAGTAGAAAGACCACATCTTCGCAAGAATTTAAGGGAATCTAGCATTCCAAAATCCAGATTCAACCTGACCCAAGCTGGAAGATCACTTTTTCTTCCCAGCTCGTCCGAATCAGCTAGATAACCCTGATAAGAATAGTAGCTACAGTGTTTTCACCCAACAAGGACAGCCCAGAACTTGTTCTCTAAAATTCCTCACGGAGGAAGTCGGAATGCTAGGTAGCAGATTTGTGGCAGCCACGGTGGATGCATTCCTCTTTCTGTTCCGTCGTCCAGGGAGGTGATTCGTTTTGTACGGGGACCCCATGGTCTCTTCAGTGACAGAGCAAGGGGATGGCAGAATGGTCGACATCCTCCAGGTTCGGAGCAAGGTAGGAGCGCCCTCTGAAGTCGGTGACAAAGGATTCCCACGTCTCTGCCTTCGAGTAGGCTGAGCAAAGGTTCTGGACTAACATACCTAGTCTGTCATTTCGGATTGATCTGGTGTCGACGACAGGGCTAGTAGTTTCAGTAGTGTTTGATGTAGTGGATGAAGGCGGTCGGTGTTTCTTAGGTGATCCGGGCAGTAGGCCAGCCGACCGCTTTGATGATGAAGACATTGACAGCGAGGCTGCGTGTGAGAGGGCGTGAATTGAAGTGGTAGATTCGTCGTGTGAAGGTTTTTTGCGAGCAGGAGTGCTCCTGTTGGTCCTTGGAGGTTTCACAGGAGAGATATCGCGATCAAATGGGCGGAGACCAAACTGCTTGCGAGGCATGGATGCCACCGAGATAGGAGCGGGAGCTCCAATACGGGTGACGAGTCCAGGCGTGGAAACTCAGGGCTGCAGATCAGCAACTCCACAGTCCGTGAGGAGAGTGTGGAGCTTCTGCACCGTAGCTGCTGAGTAACGCTTGTGGGTGGCAGCGCGCTTGCATCCAGAGGTGCAGCTGCCTTTGAGAGCCCAGGCCATACAGACGTCTTGACCACCGTGCTTGGGAATAGTGTACTGGTGGTCCTTGGTCATCTCAGTGATGGAGCGAAACCCAGAATCCTGGAAGCGCTTCAAGAGGTCCTCATCGCCGTGGACATTGGTGACGGGGTGCGCTCCCGCTCGCTGTTGGTTTGCTCTGGCAGGATTCTTGCTAGGCGGTTCGGGAGCAGGCTTGAAGAACAAGTACCAGTGAGCAGGGAGTTCAGCAAGAGACGAGGCACGGGAGGACTGAACGAGTCTAGTGAGTGCTCCAAAGTTGGGGGCAGCAGCGCCCAGATTCAGGATAGCTTCGTTGACCCACAAGAAGTAATCTTGTTGGACCTCGAATAGGATGCGACCGCACAAGTCCACCGCCACACTTCGGTTGTCAGCGTGTAGGCCATGGATGGAGTGGAGGTAGGATCCCAGCGAGAGGGCCACATCTCGCAAGGAGCGCGAATTTGGATGGTTTCCTCCATGGAAGACGTCTATCATGATGGAAAAGCCGTAGAGTTTCTCTTCAGTGCTGGACGTCGGTGGAAGTGATGGCGATGGCATCTTCCACGGTGATGGAGGCTCCCTTCTCAACATATTCTGCTCGAGTGGCCAGGTCCTGGACTGCCTTAGCCTCCGAATGGCCTTGGCACACTACCGAAAAGGGGAAGAGGCCTTCGCCCAAGGTGGTCCCTTGACCGTTCATGAAGTACTTGCGGAAAACACGATTCAGAATGTGTTCAGTGACCAGGGGTTTGTTGGCGAGGTTGATGGGTAGCGCCGATGCCTGAGTGCGTTCATCTAGTTGAGCTTGCAGGATCCCGTGTTCATTCCCCTTAGGGGGACTTCGCGAGCAGACGGTGAATGACCGGAAGGTTTGCGTCATCGGCCACGTTGCAGAGGTTGTGGACGCGAGTGGCTTGTATATATTCGTTTCATCATTTTGGAGGACGAAGCCAAAGGTGACAGGTGAACGAAGGCAAAATTGGCTCATGGCGCGAGAGGCAACATCACGATTTGCGTTCGAGGGGCCACCCACAGCAGTGAGGATATCAGCGTAGTTAGGAGCATGTACTTCCCATGCCGCTGCACGGGAGACGAGATCCGAAAAATTAGAGCTGGCCATGGTGAGGGTCGAAAAGATACGAAACCTGATGCCGGCGCAAGAGATTACTCTAATCTATGTTCTTGCTTTCAGCGTCGGCTGAATGAAGAATTGTGAGCTGAGAGAGAGACAACCTTCTTGCGATCGGCAGTTCAATAGCTGATCTTGGCTAGGTCGCTGGCTTTAGTGATTCATGGTTGCCGCTGTCGATCTTGCCAAATGTGGTCTTGGACGGGCGTCGTTGCCTTAAGGGTAATCTTGTTCGAGGGGCATTGAGGAGCTGATGCGGTGCAGCCATCATCATGTGGGGCATCCAATTCCGGAACGCAGGTGATGACGTGCGAGATGTAGAGATGTACTTGAGTTGTAGGTAAGGAGCGTGGGAATTAATTTTGCAAACTGTGAGATGGTCCTTTTGGCAACCATGATTAGGGTCATAGTTGCGAGAACCCATCAGGGTTCAAGTTTCCACGCTGCGGGGCGTGGAAACTCGGACGGGGGGTTCCCCAGGCATGCTGCTGCTCGACACGAACTATTCCCATGTATGTTAGCTTTTTGTTGTCATGTGAAATGCTTTATTGTCGTGTCATACGTGGAACCTTGTCTGTATTATGCCATGCAATTTAGCTGCCAAGCTATATTTTTGGGAGATACAGGCAGCTTCGTTTCTATTGATTCAAACGCGAGCCGAGCTTCTTCGTACATTTCTACACTAGCACTCGTAGAAGCGTACCAGAAAAGCAGGCACGAGTTTGAATCAGAAAAATCGAAGCTGCTCGTAGAACTATACATCATTGCGTTAGAGTTAATTTTTTTGCGTAATAGAGCTACATTTTCGCGATTAGAACTACATTTTGTGGGTCAGAGCTGTGATCTGATGTATTAGAGCTATGTTCTTATGTGTTAGAATTATCTATAAATTTTGAAAAATTTCTAGGTTAGAAAGAGATGTCATCGCGTAATAGAGTCGCGTAATGTTGTCGTGCAATGTAGCTGTATAAAAATGTTTGGTAAAAATGTCAAAAACACCATAATATAACAACCAATTTAATAATTTTATTATAAAATAAATTCATTTTTGTTTTTTTGTTTTAGAAAAAATTTATTTGAAGTCCCAGTACAACAGTAAAATAACGACTGCCAACAGTCAACAAAAACAACGTTTTGCAATTGGACATTTGCAATACACAGTTCACCCCTCAGCTTGAGCAGCTACAGATAGCTGGAGTAGGTATACATCTGCTTAACCCTCATTCGGTTTGGCATCAAGCCTTGCAGCTGCGACGTTCTAGCAGCACCTTTATTCTACTCTTCTTGAGGCCTTCCAAACAGCAGTTAGATGCCCCATACAATTTTCTACAGTACCAGAAAGCACCTTATTGTTTTACGCGCACTACTCTACAACCAAGGCAGCTACTGACTTCCCGCTCATATAGATGTTGAGGAGGGCTACAAGCTTGATCCATCCCTGCACTGGTTGTATGCAAATTCCATCTGAGCCTGTCACCTCATTGCCTTTCGTTATTTGTTAGTTTACTTTTTTAGCTCCTGGTGAGTCGAATTTGTTATTTATATTGTTTTGCTTTTGTACTCTCACTGGGCCCCATATCCCAGCTCGAATGGCTTCTGGCCGGCCGAGGACGATCGCGCCGCCGATATACCCAGAACACTTGCTATTAGCTTGCCGACGGCGAAGAAAATGATACAGTATGAGACATTTGTTCCTATCTCGCTGTTTTGGCTATTTTAGTCGCGGGCATCATTCTGAACTTGCAGAGAACAATGAAGAACATTTCGGAAAAACAGGTGGAGTTGACAAAGCATTAACGGTTAACGGACTAGCACATGCACTACGGCTTCTCGGACAGGATTCCCGCTTGATATTGATTGCCTTATTCAATGGCTTCTCCTAGGGTTAAGGCTGTGCCGACAACCCTGGGCGTTCTTGATATCTATTTTGGAGTTTGGCGGGAGCGGTGGAAAAACACTACTCGCTGCGCGAAACCGCGATTAACCGTGAATTCGGCGGATCCGCTTCCCGGTCCCGTAAAGGGGTGAGCTCAATCGCCGTAGCGCTCAGTCGCCGCAAAGCTTATCTCATGGGTCGCTCAGTCGCCGCAAGGCTGTTGGAGGTCGCTCAGTCACCGCGGGGCTATATGTTGTCGCTCAAATGCCGCGTAAGGCTAACAAGACTAAAATTGTTGCAGACTACCGTTCTTAATTCTTTCGCAATGAGAGGGGAATCTGAAATTAAGGTTGGTCCCCCGCGACCACTTTACTATATAAAAAACAACGTTGGACCGGGGACCGAGGTGAGGTAATAATGGTTTATCTCACCTTGGTCCCCCTTAATACTACGTGCGGCATTGGTTGTTATCTCTAGCTAGATTTATCGGCTTGTGGCTGGTGTTGGCATTCCAAATGGTGATGTGTTCCACGGAGTGAGTGCCTACTAGTCTACCAGCAGAATAACCGCTCCACCACAGGCATGCACACTGCTCTTCGTGTCCCTTCTTGGGGCGTTGCAAGAATGTCACTGTTCGCCCGCGCAGCATCTCAAATGAAGCACCTTACTCCTGAATAATGCATATTACAGATCCACCAATTAATTTTGGCGCTTCCCGGCATCCAACAAGCCAGCAACCAACGACAGTACAAGATTGAGCTGGACGTCGCTCGTATTCGCAATTGTTTCCGAAATGCACAGATTGCCATCGGAAAACAACGAAAAGATCCATTCTTTGCCCGTTGTCACAATTCCATAGACAGGAGGCTCGATATCGCCCTCCAAATGACCGTCATGCTCGCCCGCCTTTCCGTCTCCTGAGATATCTTCAATCTTACGTTTGGTGCCCCACATCTCCCGAACAACGCCCATTTGAGCAACATTCTGTGCAAGGCCTTCCTTGAGCTTCTGGTATTTTGCTTCAGTGACACAGATGATCTTATCTCGAAACGTGAAGCCGTGGGCCCTTATACCTGTGATTTTCTTTTCCATGTAGAGTTTGACATCCTGAACAATGCAGGCCGACGGAGGAGGACAGGATCAATGTATAGACGCGTGGTCGCTTCCAACCTTGGGCAACAACAGGGCCAATAGGCTTGAGCTTCTGGAGCGTCCTTCTGGTGTGCTGAATTTCTTCGGCAATTTCCGCTTGCCGGGTTTCGTCAGAAGGTTCCAAGCTGTAGGCCGTAAGCAACAAATGTACACCAACATCCTAGATCACTTCAATTTCAGCTCCTTCACCAAATACCTTCAGAGCGTCGCCGAGATTTGTGTAGAGCGAAAAACCTTTCTGCTGGTTGTGAGCCGTGATTTTAGGGACTCTGCTCCCGACCGCACGAATTGCTTCAGCTTGTCTTCTGTGAGAATAGGCTCGGTGTCTCCCCCACGTACAGTGTATTTTAGGTGGGCTACATGCTCGTTTATGGTTTTCCTGACAATTACGTTGAGTCTTTCCAAGGTCCAATTCTCCATAGGGACAATTGCCTGCTTGTTGACGGTAGCAGACTTTGGCCTTTTGTAGTCGATGTCTAGCCGGCGCTGGCAATTGTCTAGCAAAAAAGCACTGATCGTCGAGAGTATCATTGTCTCATGGGATTTCTTTGAAAACATAAACACACCCTCCACGCCTGCTTCGAGCTGCCAGAAAGCAAGAGGGCTGGTACACCCGGCGGCCATCACCCGGCGGCCATCATGTCAGCAACCAAAAGCACAGCAATCTCCTCACCGGCCACTGATTCTTCGAGGAATTTGTTGAAAAGGGCAGTTTCTCCTCCATCATCATCGACCTTCTTCTTTAGAGCTGCCACAAATGACGACTCTTTGCTTTCCATCTTCATCTCAATTGTTGGAAAATGATCGCAGAAGCAAGAGAAGAAACGGATCTATGAGAAGTTGTAGAGCGGTTAGCGGACAACTGACAGACTGATTCTCAGAACTCCCAGAGAACACTCTGGTTTGCGGATCAGGCAGTCGGTGTTTACGTACTGGTTAGTACATGTATGTGTGACCGTAATTAAAAAAATACTATGGAGCTAAGTTTAGAGCATGCAACACCGGGGTACCCCAAAACTCGCGCATTTTGGGTTGCGCAAATCACGACCCAATAGCGGTGACCTAAACATGAATCACATTGCAAATGACGTCATTTTTTGCAGATGTGATTTGCGCAACGCTTGCATGCTGCGCAAATCTGGTGACTTTGCGCTGGACCCAAAGCCAACCCAAATGGCAAATCCCATAAATAAACCAACAGATCCGATGAAAATCCAATGAGAAGAGGTGCGATTCTGGGGCTCTAGCATCAATGGTCACGAGAATTGCGTAGCACACAAAATTGAAGGCTACTACTCGCAAATCACTTCTGGCTGCAATCCAAGAGTTCGTGAGCATTTTGCATCATTTTGGGGTTCTTTCATTTTTAATTCATAGCTTGATTAATAGTTTTAGGTGGTGAATTGTTCTCTTCAATTTGTTGTAGATTTGCCATCTGCCGATCGCGACGACCGATCGAGATCTGCCGATCGACTTAACTCAACCAATATCGGAGTGGTAGCGACCAAACCAAGGCTTCCACCTACCAACCTGAGGGTGCTTGAGAAGATGAGTCCAGGCAGTTCCTTGTTAATCGGCTTGGTTATGGCTGCCGATCAGTGAAACGGACCGTCATTTTCGCGATACGGCAACATCAACAACAAAAGGATAGCTTCATCTAGGGTTAAGTCTAGTTTAAATTCGTCCAAGGGGTACCTGGTAAATAAGAGTGGCCGTTCGCGTTATTGGTTGCCTTTAACCCAAACCAAACCCAAACCAAATGATGTTAGCGAGATGGAACGTGGGTCCCATGTGGCACTCATGGGTCCCACGTGACACTCATTTGAGTCTTGACAAGACTGTATGTATGGGTTTTGGGGTACCCTGGTATTGCATGCTCCTATACTTGATGTGTTTTCCAGTGGGATGTTCCGGTGAGACGCTCGGAGTTGATAGGGCTTGGGTGAATGACATCACGACAGCAAGTGGATCCATCTCATGGCAAAGTCACGACTCGACAGTAAGCTCCTCCGGCTTTGACCTCTCGCGATAATACTGGATAAATACACCCGACTAGGAAAATTTTCATTCAGTATAGAGAGAAGAGAACCAGCCCCGCAGGGGCTGGATAGTTAGAAGAAGAGAAGAGGAGGAGGGGGGAGGAAGGGGTTCTTAGCAATTGAGGCAATGCCCTTCTGGCTTATTAGCAAGGTACTACATTTGATTCTGTGCAGGTGGCTTGGAATGGAAGTTCTATCGTCGGCAATGCAGCCATTGTTGTTTCCCACTTTGGAGTCCAGGCTTCTCTGGGAAGCTCACATATAGTATTTGTTGGATTGACACCAGGACTGCTAGTTGAAATTGCCTTGGCTTGGTCGGAAAAATTGCCATGTTGGTCAGCGCACAGAGATCGCTGTTGATGGCTGCGGCTGCCCGATCTCCCTTCGTGGTGGTGTTGATGGCCCGTGTTGTTGTTACATGTATGACAGTCGAAACTTGAGCTACCGCGACCGGATGCAGGCGTCTAGCAGTAGTGGTAAACAGCGTAGTTGGGCTCACGCCCTTGGTGTTTCCTGTTGTTGTGTTGGTGGCACATGATGCCACCAGTCGTACGGTAACAATGCATCGATCAACAAAGGATCCTCTTCAGTCGATCTTCTCTAGTCAGTCAATTCCATAAATTCAGCATTAAGAACAACGAAAGCTATGCCCTTTTCTCTACTCCACACTGGCCAAATGGTGGCTTCAAGCGGTCGACAATGACAGTGAGGGATCGACAACAACAACCCACAGCAGCAGCCATGGGAGCAATGGGTCCTTGTGGAAGAAATGTGACTTGGGATCCCATGCCGGTACCCACGACCGCGCCGCTTGCAGGATCCATGGTTGCTTTGATACAGAGGATGCGTCTAGGTCTATTATTGGTAGTAGCAGTGATAACAAGGCCAGGGCTGGACGCCATTGTCATGCTATTTGGTGTTACAGAGTTGTGTTGCGTGGAAGGATGTGGTCTCGAGGCAAAGATACTGCATGCACAAATGAACAGTTTCCACGTGGAAGGTGATACCTCTGGTAAGAAACGTCCGAGACACGTCTCTTCTACCTGTCTCTGACTACTGAGACAGGCTGTCTCTGCGTCTCTGAGACGTAGAATTAATACCAGCCATACTTACTATACGGGATGAAAATTCCGTGTTACTAGAACCCTTGCGCTGGCTTAAATTCCTCTCGTGAACTGACCAGATTGACGAGCAGGGACACAGAGAATTGACAAACTCAGCTGGCTTAGATTGCCTCGCCAACATTCACAGCAGCGAAACCATAAAAACATCGAATCCCACCATGACGCCGCCTACGAAGAAAGCCAAGACGGAAGACATCCCGGAGGATACCAGTGGTATGGCTCTGAAAGAAAAGGCTCTCAAGTTGACGGGGCTAGATTCAGAGCTAATTGATAAGTTATTTGCACATGGTCATCGAAGCATTCTTGAGACAATGGTTGCTCAAGCAGAGACAATCCAATCTCAGTCCAAGAAAATCAACAATGAGTCCAAACGCCGTCTGATTGAAGACTGCCCCTCAATGAAATTGAACCTTTTGGGTGAAAAGACCTCTCACACTGGCAAATCAAAGCACGACGGAGCCGTGTCGAGAGTATTTCCTGGGACTGTGCTTGAATCTGAGTACGATGACACCGCGTTGGGGAATTCTTCACATTTGCTTATGAAGTTTGGATGTCATATAAATACCTCGGCGAGTACTGGCAGCGTAGACGTCATCACGGAAAGCGACTTCTCGAGCTTGATCGCCGCAGCGCTGAATGATGCAAAAGAGCTGGCGGAGGCAGCAACCCGGAGAAAGTTTTCTGTGCACCACGAATTCAGCTTATGGTCAGATCGACCCGATCATCTCGTTGTTTTTGCAGAAGGAACAAGGGACCCTATTTTGGCCGTGGAAGACAAGGAACCATTCGCCACCCACGATGACAAAATACCACCGCCAGTTCTTGGTCAGGTGTTTGATTACCTCATGGAATTGCGCTGCCTCGGACATTCTGCCCCCTTCTGCGTTTTGTCTACCTTTGAATCTTCCTGGATGTTTTGGGAAGACCAAGAAGCCTCCAACGAAATTGTGAAAAAGAAGTATAAGCTGGCAAAACAGGTGCCCCCCGTCTCCCCCACGCAGCAACCGACAACACAAGAAATGACTCAATCGCCCCAAGATCTCGTCGCTGACAACGGAAAGGCTGTCACTGAATCCGTCTTTGCCGACGACAGTTACAACAGGAATAGCTTGTTGATGCAATCACAAAAGTATGGATTCAAACAGCTAGTACCCTTATTGTACACGGCAATACTCTGTGGTCTGGCGCGGAACCCATCGGCTCGTCCAAAAACACTCTTCGATCGCAAGTTCTATACTGGTCCAGCTCTGAAGTTGTGGAATAGTGGCATCTCGAACTCAAAGTGGGTACAGCAATTGAAAATCGTTGTCGGGGCACAGCAAGAACAATAACAACATCGTCGGAACAGGCTTCTGAGGGAACCTTCTACGCCATTGGCAAACTCGGCCGGGGGGACACTTCTAAAGTCTTTGAAGCCTACAATCACCAAGGGGAAAAGTGTGCAATCAAGATGTATGTCAAGCGATCCAGAGACGAGAACGACGACAGGCTGAAGTCCCGAAATGAGTCCAGAAAGGAAGGGAAGACTAAGTGTTGCTTGGAGGTCGAACGTTTGAAAAAGTTCTATCCTTTCTTGAAGGATCAAGTGTTTTACAATGATCTCCACAATTTTCCTTGTGTGATCATGCCCTATTTCCGACCTTTGACCTCCGATGAGCGAAAGGCTGCACTCAAAGAAGAGATTCGCACTTGCCTCTCGAATTTCAGAGACGGCGAAAAGCGGCTCAAGTACATGGATGGCGATCTTCGCTGGCGTCACATTGGGTATTTCCACACCCAAGAAGGAAACAAGTTGGTCATGTTCGACCTGGCAGATTTAGAAGAGGTGGAGGGACACGATGATGTGGAGGGACACGATGATGTGGAGTCTCAGATCACGGCTCTTTCTAAACGTTTGCCGAACAACAACGTTGAAGGTGCAGATCCATGAGCCTGAGTGGGGATCTAATGATTACTAGTAGACGCTGCTGTTCGGCGCAGCTCTCAATTATCAAGATACTTATGCTGTAACTGGTATCGTTTCCGTTGCTCAATTGTTACAAGTCTAGCTAGTTTCTTGCTACGCCCAGTTCGTCTCTTTCTCAAACGCTTTCCAAACAGTCACCAAAAGGACACCTGGACCAATAAACGGGAGAACCAAGAGAGCCCAGGGAATGGCCAAGATGGAGTTGTCATCCTCGTCATCAGTATCTGCTGTTCTCTGGTCATCGTGCCCATCAACTAAAGTTCCAACTAGTGATCTCGTGCCCGCAGCAGTAGAATCTCCGGGCCAGTACTCTCGTCGTAGACACGAGTAGACAGCTTCCTCCTCAAATGTCCAGCGTCGGCTGAAAAAGAACAAGCAGCCGGAGCCTGATGCCCTCAACTGTCAAAAAGAGATTTGATTGGATTCCCCAATCGAATCCTTAACATCTTTGGTCAAATCCTTTACCGTGTTCATCTGGACACACTAGCAAGTCTCCATAGCCAGCCATTAAGGGTCCAAAGTACTGTGTCCAACAGAACACACAATATCAATCCCTATCCTTAACAAGGAAAATGTCCCTTATGTCTTTGGCAAAACTTACACCGTGTTTATCTGGACACACTAGTGAGTCTGCATAGCCAGCCAGAACTGGTACCCATATGTTGAACTACTGTGTCCAGCTGAACCACAATATTAATCCCTATCCTTAACGAGAGCCCCTTTTGACGAAAACAGCTGAAACAAACACACAAACACAACACACAAACACCACACAACACACACACAAACAACTTACAGCGATAGTGCACTACGCTAAAGCTAGTGTAAAGATCTTTCGAGTTTTTTGAGTTTGAGAGAATGAAAGTTATGAAGAGATTAGAAAGCTATGAAAACTAATCAACGAGAGACATCTCACAGGATCGTAGATCTGTTTCCCGCGGGGAGATCTGAATTGTGATGAGTGGTTGTGGTAGTAATCCTACGTCTTTCCACGATCCTAAAACGGAACGCGGGAAGGTTTGTCTAGCTGGATCTAGTAGCGTGGAATACTCCACGCTGGCTAAATTAGAGCGATGTTTCATATCACTAGTATGACTAGGTCATGAGAACCCTGTCTCAAATGACTATTCCAGAGAGACTCAGTCATGACGAACTCAAACCCTATCTAGGATCGGTCGCGAATAAGGCTAAGACCGTGTATTGCATTCGCCCTGACAAGTCACAGAAGCGCGACAGCAGTCGGACAAGGAGAACATATGGTTTTTAAAGTGCGGGGCACTCTCATGAGATTTGGATGTAGACTGTGCGTCGCACATTGGCAATCCTACAAGCAGGTAAGGCCTTGTATGAGTGTAAATACCTATGTTCCAGTCTGGTAGATGTGCCGCTATTGGCGGTAGTAGGTCGGACGCGTACAGTGCCTGCATTGACCAGTACATAGTGTCAATCCTTTGTACTTGAGTGACCGTTATGCGTGCTATACTGTTGAATCATCACGTTCGTTTATTGTTATTGATGAGGACACGCGTCTTTTTCCCTACGTTGTTTGTTGGATTAGTCGTTGACGTTCCTTAATTACTTCCAGTTTGCTTCGAAGCGGACGTTGTGTGAATCGCGTCACGATTGAACACGGGCTGTGGGGCGTTGCGCGCAAGGTGGTATGAGTCGTGGCATTCATTGCAAGCGAACCGCCGTTGAGGTCTCCATCCCAGGTCCATTCACGAGGTTCGTCTTGGCAACTTGATGTTTTGAACAGCGATCAAGTTACGTATGGTTTGATGTACACGCTCGACCATAGAGTTTTGCTTGAGGTGTACGCGTGTTGATGAACTTGCGACGATAGTCCATATTCAATCCCGGATGTCTTTTTCGACCTCTGCACGGAACTCGTCGTCCTCTATCCATGTAACCTCAGCAGGTCCAGGATACCGGAGTAAGCCACAGTTTGTTCTAGGACGATGGCTACTTCTCTGCTGCATTGAGCAGATCTCGCATCTCGAACCATCCGGTTCCGGAATCAATCATTGTCAAGCATGGAAGTGTGCAGGAATTCTTTTTCTTGGAATCCCCGACGTTGTAAGGCCCTATCAGTTCAATACATAGTCTTTCCCAACGGATCTCCTCGCAAGTCTTTGGAGCCATCAATCCCAGCTTACGAGTCTTGGGTTTGTTCATCTGGCAGATTTGGCAACGCTGACATACGGCCTGTACAGTCTTGCGCAGTCTTTTCCATGTGTAGTGTTGGCTGCTGTTTAGTTCCGTTCGAGTCTCTCCAGGATGCATCAGCACAACATGGTAACATTCAACTAGCTTTTTCTGCATTGTTTTAGGTTCGACGATCTTATCGTCCTAACTACTAAGTCGTAAGGCTTATCCCTCTGGGGAAAGATTGCTAATTGTAGTCGTTTGTGTCTCTTAGCTTCTGGATATCATCTGTCGTCTTCCTCGATTCATCTCAGACGAGAAGGACATTCGCCTAGGAATCCTCTCGCTGCTAGCATTGAGCTCAGCGATCCTCTGGCGTCATCTGTTCCGAAGACAACCTTCGTGTTGGATGTTAAGTCTCGCAAACGCATCAGCGACGATGTTGCGTTCGCCCTTGATGTACCGTGTTCGGCCTATTCTTCGGATAAGGCATCGCCTTACCGATCGGATTGAGTTCTACATGTAGCTTTTGTGTCCGTCAGTAGACACTTCTGTCCTACAAGTTACTGAACTCTTTAGAGTTGCTCGTAACGAGAATTCCTTTCCCAGGTAATGTGTAGTGTCCTGAGCGGTGAGCTTCTACTGTAACGCATATGTTTTTCCTTTGGCGAATTATTGCACCTAGTGATGTCTCGCCTCGGATGGATAACAATGTGTCATTAAGTCAGGGTAGTCGCGCAAGTTTCTTTGCTGTTTTTCTTATCTGCTACGCCTTGTCGTGTCGTTCCCATCATTTGTTTGATCAACGAAGGAGTGCACCGCTGAGCGTTAATCACATGTTGTAGTAGTTCCTGCACGATTACGGGAGTTCTCTTTGTGAGACGATATTCTTGATCGAGTCTATTTTCTTGGTTATAGTTTGGATCCTTTCTCGAGTGATCCATTAACCTAGGTACTCAATTTTTCCTCTTGCGAAGAAGGAGTTGTTAGCATTGATCTTAATTCCGTCTTCTCGAAGCCTTTAGGTGAACTTCATCTAACTTTTTAACGTGATCTGCTAGATCCCCGTTAGTTAGGATGCTCAATTATCAGATCTAGGTGTGCTTGTTTTCCATCTCTCTTGAGATGTCGGATTACTAGCCATTGCACCTCTGGTCTCGTACTTCCCATGGGGTCGTGTACGAATTGTTCGAGTTATGACGCTCGATTGTGATTGTTATCCATGTATTAGTTTAGAACTATAGCGTACTTGCCCTCTAATTAAGCATTTCCTTAATTTTTGGGATGGTAGCTCCCTTAATCTTTTTGTTTAGTTCCCGGAAGTCAGAGTTGAATCGTACAGATCCTTTTTTCTTGGGAATGATGAAAGTAGATGCCGCACTCGACGTTACCACTTGATATCCCGCCCGCAGAGACGTTCAACTACCTTTTAAAGAGTTGTGTTGACCAGTGGAAATAGATAGCCGCATATAGGTTTAGCTCGGAGAGTTTACGTCGTGAGTCGTCATTCACTTCCTAATCACAGTCGAAATAGTCAAGAGTACTTCGTCAGATAGAATAAGCTTTCGTCTCTTCCTTTTTTAACTGATCTTGACTTTGCAAACCTGCCTTAAATCATCTTGTTCGTATTTCACATCAAGAATCTTCTTGAAACTATCTGCACTGTCGCTAACAGCTGCAGAATCAGAAAAGGAGAAGTTCTCCTTTATATCGGTATCGCCATCTTACACAGGGAAAAATATGCTGTCCCACTCCACTGACATGGTAGTGAATCGAACTTGAAACATATCAGAGAGATTCTCTCCAATGTTCATGCATCGCCCCAAGCTCTTGTACGTGTAGGTCCCACCCTTTGAATATTCTATCTTCTGAATTTCAGGAATCCTGAATGCCCTTTCACTCTGCTGGTTATTCTCCTGCAGGGTACACATCGTTTGTGCGCCCCCAAGATCCTTCATGCGAAATTTCTTAGCATGAATAGTTGACAAACAGGTTCAGTGCTCCGTATCCTTAAGCACCGAGTGGTACGGTTGGGTTTCCCTTTTCTGCTTTATCTAACATAGACTATTGGTTTGAGGTCTCTTTTCTTGCGCCGTTTACGAGCTGTTGGCCACGGACGAGGTTACGATGCTAAATAGATCAAC